TTCTCCTTTACTGTTTTTTAAGTTTTCAAATCAGATTAAAAAATATGGTGGCTGTTGTATTTTAAAGCGATGTAGATACAACAGATTTTTAAATGTTAAGAAAAAAATTATAATCGAATGCGCGGCAGACGGCGACAGCAAGACTGTAAGGTAACGTCGGCGGCCGGAGGCTCAGTTCGGACAAGTTATTTTTGTTTTTCTTGCTTGTCAAGGAATACCAAAGGTCAGCTCAAAGATAAGGAGAGGCAAAGGACACGATCGTTTGACCCAGCATGAAAAGACATCTCGAGAAAGAGAATTACGGCACTAATGGCCCGATCCTGTAGACGTTAGCACCATTAGAAACTAATTAGTTTTAGAATTTCAGACATGTATTTTGTTATTAGTAGCTGACGTGATGTATGTTTTATAAATCCGCATTTCCGTATTTCTTATCTATCACCTATCGCCTTTTCTCTCTCTTGCCTCTATTTCACTTCTCTTCATTTCTTATATTTTGTTATCATCATTTTTCTCTTTAGTGTTGTTATTTCCCAGCGCTTTTCTCAGCCTTTTTCCTCAGCATGGTTAACCACCTTGGTAATCTTGATTTCTTTCACTTCTGCATTATATTGTTACTCAAATTCATAGCTTGATAAACTTTGAGACTTTTCAGTACTATGACAACAGATTTTTTTTTCACACAACCATTCAACCATTCAGTTGTTCAGTTCAGCACAAACTGTTGTTTTCCATGGCAAATGATGTGTGACAGTATTGGTGATTGGGACTGTGCAGAACGAGGTAGTGCCTGAGTTGGGAGACAAAACCTATATAATTTGATAGACCGATACAAACCAAGACACTTTTCTTCTATGGCAATATTTGTGCAAATACTTCCCTAAGGTGCTATTCATAATTGCACAGAGGTAAGAGCCCAATTTTGGCTAAGTTGATCATCTTGTTTTCATGTTGAGAGTAAACATAGGACTGACCGCATAACTCATTACTGCGATGTCCCAAATAGAAAATGATATTTGGCTAATTATCAGTCTGCTGTTACATGTTTAGCCTTTAAAGCCCTTTATTAATGTTATTATACTTCATTTACGTGTTTTAAGATTTATCAATACACTCGTTTTGAATAGCCAGCGCATCATGCATTTTACATTTTGTCACCAGCTGCGAGGTTTGACAGTTCGAAGCCGGTCACTCTGTAACAGGTGGCTGGTGAAAAATGTTGCTTTTCTAGTGTTGTATTGATTCTGGATTATTCTTAAGACTATACATTGGCAATGAAGAAGAAATAGATTTTACGAACCATCCCAGTTTAATACCTGAGCCCATCAAGTGCCTCAAATGCCAAAAAATAAAAAAATAAAAAAATAAAATCAAAGCAATCCAGACCATAGAAAGAAGCGAACAAAAGTTGGACATTTCCAGAAATAAAGGTATTTGGTTTATTATTTTACTGTGTGAATGCAGCTCTAACTTGCCATATGTACCAAGGTGAAAAGAATGTTTCCCAGGGGGCAGACCTTTCATCAACCCTCCTCTCGGGCAGTCAGGCAGTATGCCTAGTCACGGCAACTTAAATTGTTAGATTGAGTTGGTTTATTAATCAATGTTTTTTTTTTTTTTTTTTTTTTTTTTTTTTTTTTTTTTCTTTCTTTTTAAGGGGGGGGGGGTTGCAATGTGTAAATTCCCATAGATTTTGCTGAAAGGTGGATTGGGGTCCTGTAGTTTTTTTCATTTTGGTGTGTCAGTCTATAGAATTTCAGAGATGGCGGGTACATCTGTAGAGTTTCATTGGCCAATTTTGATTGTTCTTTGTGCTGGTTTTAGGCAATTTTGTTTTCAATTCTCTTTATTTAAGCCTATTTTATCGTGTAATTTCCCTATTATACTTCATGCGTGTTATGTGCTCACTTAGCGCCCTACGCATAAAACATTGAGATGCACTCCTCTGCTATCGGGACTACCTAATCAAAATCATCGATGGAGAAATGGTACTCTATCTCCTCAAGATTTATTGGCCTATGCCTGAACATTGAAGTCACAAAGGCCACAGTGATCGTGAAACTTAATCTCTGGTAGATGTGATCCTTGATTTAGGTACTATCTACAGCTTTGCAGTATGATCCTTTAGTTTTTAAAATTGGCATATTATGCTAATATGCATGCATCCCTATACTGCACCCATGCACAAATGTATTTACATTGAAGATTAATTTCCTAGTTAATAAAGAATATGATGATAAGTGAATAAATCAGAGGTCCAGACAAACATTTACAAGAAATATACATTTGTCTTTGGGATGGGACTTAATTCTTTTATATAAACTTGTTTGGTAAGATCCACTTAACCTGTTGTCAGTGTGGATGGCATCTACCTACATGTCTTGCCCACAGTGATTTTATTTTATTGATTATATGTACTCACAGATGGCTCCACAAGTACTTAGTCACAATTGAGGCAATTACTAGTACTACCTATTTCAACTGTTTACCCTTTTTCTTG